ATCGTCAAACCGCGAGCACCTTTAATAATTTGTAAAACTTTGTGTCTTCAATTTGTTTAGATATTCTATTTGCATTTTCAATTGAAAAAGCGTTTAAATATTCTGTTGAATATATTATGTTGAAAAAGAGTTTTCAACTTAAATATATTTTTTTAATTGAAAAAAATAAATGTATTATTTATCTATATTTTTTAGTTTTTAAATCTAACTTTAAAAATAATAAATAAAAAAAAATTATATATGATGGTTGGTTTTTATTTTAAAAAACAGGTATAGATGTAACAATGTAGAGACATATAATCTTTACTATTGCTCTGTTTATGGTTTTAGTAGTTTGAATTGTTTTTATATTTTAAGAATTACAAATTGTAATACTTTATATGGATGAGACATGCTGTGATTGTAATATGTGGATAAGACATGTAGAGATTGTAATATTCTAAAGTTTCAAATTTTTTTTCTTTCGATGAGGTATGTAGTAATTGTAATATTTTTTTAAACCATTGACTGTATATATTTTTTTTTGAGAAAATACACAAGTTAAATTATATTAAAAATTTATAAAATTTTAAACTACCAAACTAATTCACATTTATCCGTTAATTTGTCAATCTACTAAATTCACATATGTCAAATTAACGAATATAAACGAATTAAATTTTTTTAATCCTTCAATTTAATAAACGGATAACAAATTAAAAATTTCGCAACCACAGTCGAATCGCGCCCACCTAATTTTGACAGAGATTCCTAAATGTCAATGGATAAAATTGTGGGTTATTGCACTCATTTCTTGTGCGTTGAAGCATTTATGCAATAGTGCCCACACAAATTATCACTGGCGGCTGCAGGAGTCAGGACGAAAATTATAAAAGAAAAAGAAAAATTCTTTACGTCTCATCAAACTGCATTTGTTGCAGTTCTTTTGTCAAAAAGAAGGGGTAAAAATGTAAATTTACATTATTGACTATTATTTTATATATATATTTTTATAAAATGTTCTTTTGTCAAAAAGAAGGGGTAAAAATGTAAATTTACATTATTGAATATTATTTTATATATATATTTTTTTATAAAATGTTAAAAAATTATCTTATACATATATATTTTTTTAAATTAGAAGTATACTTATTTAAATTATGACAAATAATCCCTAATCATTCGTACATTATATTTTTTCATATTCTACAATTATTTATTCTGTGTTTGATTGATGAATTTATGAAAGAATTTAAAAAATGAAAGAAAGACGGTACATAAAAATATGTGAAATATATGTATATATTTTATTTGAGTGTTTAAGAAGTGAATTTTTATGTAAGTTTTTTTAATTGTAAGATATTATTAGATAAAATTTTTTAGTGTTTGAGAAGATAGTTGAATTTTTTTGTAATTAGATGTGTTGTTTGTAAGAAAAAAATAAAATGATTATAGAGTTAGATGTGATATTTTGTTTGGATTAGTTTTTTTTTTTTTTTATTTTGCAAAAACTTTAGTTGCATTTGTTGCAGTTCTTTTGTCAAAAAGAAGGGGTAAAAATGTAAATTTACATTATTGACTATTATTTTATATATATATTTTTATAAAATGTTAAAAAATTATCTTATACATATATATTTTTTTAAATTAGAAGTATACTTATTTAAATTATGACAAATAATCCCTAATCATTCGTACATTATATTTTTTCATATTCTACAATTATTTATTCTGTGTTTGATTGATGAATTTATGAAAGAATTTAAAAAATGAAAGAAAGACGGTACATAAAAATATGTGAAATATAGGTATATATTTTATTTGAGTGTTTAAGAAGTGGATTTTTATGTAAGTTTTTTTAGCTGTAAGATATTATTAGATAAAATTTTTTAGTGTTTGAGAAGATAGTTGAATTTTTTTGTAGTTAGATGTGTTGTTTGTAAGAAAAAAATAAAATGATTATGGAGTTAGATGTGATATTTTGTTTGGATTAGTTTTTTTTTTTTTTATTTTGCAAAAACTTTAGTCTTTTTGTGGAAAAAATAAAAAAAACCCAAAACCAAATCTTGCCAAACACCGCCAAAAAGCAAAAACTTTGGCCTTGTTTGGTTTATTTTTTAGAAAATTTTTTGGAAAAAATTATCTACAAACAAATTTTCAAAAGTAATGAAACCAAACAAATTTTTTCAAAAAAAATCTCAAAAATTTGTTTGGTTACTTACTTTCCAAAATCACTCTCTCTCTCTCTCTCATACATATCAATCAATCACTTTTTTTAAAACTCTCTCCCAAAAATAATTTTCCAAAACTATTTATGAAAAAAGGCAAACCAAACAAAATTTCGTACTTTTTATCTCAAAACTTACTTTACAAAAACAAACCAAACACACTCTTTGTCTTTTAGTGGATAAAACTTTGTTTTTTTTTTTTGATTTTGCATTTCACTTATATTTTTCATTTTCTTTTTTAAATTTTTTTTCAAATCTCATGACCAAACACAATATTAATATAAAAATATGAATTATATATTTTCTTTATCAATCACAACACTTTAAAATAAAATAAGACCACAATGTAAAATCAAATAATGATAGAAAATTTTAATTTTAAAGCTCTAAAGAAAATAACAGTGATATCACAAGAGAAATAATTATATAAATATAACAACAATGATTCATCTCCCTTTTTCCTCCACCCCCTTTGACCCCCTTTCTCTCTCATTGGCTACATTTTCTTTTTCTTTTTCTTTTTTTTCCTGCTCCTCCAATCACCACCCGCCACGTGACAAAGGGGTGAAGGGATGACCTCCCAAAAGGGGTCCCAAGTATTATTCTAAATATAAATACATATATCACATCGCATATACACCCACTTCTTATCAAATTATAAAAATTCTTTTTAAAATTTTAAAATTAAAACTATCGATCTTTATTCATGAAAGACCACCTAATAACCACTCCTTTACTTTACATTTCAAAGCTGCCGGCAATTGGGGTGCGGGTGTCGTGGCGCGTAGCTGGGAGAATGTCTGCTGCATTTGGTGCATTTTTTTATTATTTATAACGGCATTCGGTGCATTTTTATCAAAAATATATATATATGTATATATTATAAGAGCATTTTTAACTATGCATTAATTTTTTTGAATAAAAATTTTATTTGATATTAAATATTTTAATGGTGAATTTTGAAACTTTATCAAAATACCGGCGATCCCACATATGTTCGGTTGGTGTAATTTTTTTTTTTTGCCTTGAGGTGATCGATCAGTCAATGTAATTTTTTTATAAATTTTTATTTTGAGATGGTTATCCAAAGGACATCCAATTGTGAAAATCAAACAACTATGAACAGTGATTTGATGAAAAGCACATTCATCCTCAGTTTGATGAAAGAAAAATAAAATATTAAATTTGATACTTATGTGATGAAACTGTTGGAATAGAAAAAAGACACTATTTTTCATCAAATTCAAATTTGATTAAAGGTTTGAATAATCTTTAGAGATGATGTAAGAGAGTTGCTATTTTCACTCTATATTATTTTAAATATATTAAATTTTTTTTTTTATTATACATAGAAAATAATATATTTTGAGTAAAGTAGAATAAAAATAAGATTATTTTGAAAAGATGATTAAATATTGACTTTTTAGTTTTTTTTGAAAAAATGTATAAAAAATATGAGAAATAATATGATTCAAAATGAATTAAAAACTTAAATATGACTTTTAATTATTTTTTAAAAATAATCAATAATAACTATATATAATGAAAATAAAAAATATATATATATTTAAAACAAAATTAAGGGAGAATACAACTCATTACTATTATTATTATATTTCTACCTTTGGAGAAACACATGCATCCACTTGACGTAGATATTGCAAATACACAGCAAAAGCATTATCACTGATCATACATTCATCCCCCCTTTGCTAGGAGCAAGGAAATATCGATAATGCTCACATCACCAAATCATAAGAGTATATAGTGATGTAATTAATATATTATCAAATTTAAATTTAATGTTTAGTTATATTCTAAAACTGTGTTAATCCTTATCACATTAGAGTAACTTTGATTGAACCTAAGTGATATTTAACTTTTTGGACATTTAACGTTATCCCAAATGATGACGGTTACAATTTTAATGTAATCATAATTTATTAATTTTTTTCTTCAAATTCAACAATTAAAAAGAAAAGTGTGAATGGTATGCATAGGGTTACTATACACACTTTTAAAATAATATATCCACTTAAAATTTCAATCACAATAATTTATAACTTCTATTACTTTATGTTATACCTAAGATTAAATTAATTCAAGGCTAACATCATCCCAAAAATTGATAATCAAACACCACAATCAAAACAATTTAAGGTTCGTTTAAGATATGAGTTAACTTTTTAATTTTTTAACCCTTTTAACTTAAAATTAGAAAGTCTTGTTTAAAATAATTTTTTCAATTTTTATGAGAAAAAAATAAAACAATTATAATTTAAATATGATATTTTATCTTTATTAAATTAAAAAATTTAATTTATCTTTTTATGATTAAAATAATAAAAAAAAATAAAAAAAAAACTTCTCATGTCAAACGAATGCTTTAGTTAATAACCAAAAGAATCCTAAAAAATTTAAAAATCATGACGCTCTTTGCCTTTTCAAAACACTTTACATTGATTTCAAAACTTTGTTAATATTTTACTTATTTCAAAACAATTTTCACCACAATCTCAGTGTTGAACAATATTTCCGACTCGATTTAGTATTTGCCTAACTAAAAAAATCATACACTAACCAAAATCATTTCAAATCATAGCCAACCATCACAAACACTCCTAACACACACAATTCAAAAGGATTACAAAATTTCATATACTACATATAATTCATAACAATCACAAATTGTACTACAATATTAGCGTTATAATGTGTGCATTTTTTTTTTTTCTTCCCCTAGACATATATACACACAACTGTTTGAAAAGAAAAAAAAAAATGAAGAATTAGTAGTTAACTTGAAAGCCAAGATTTTTATTTTATTTTTTAATTAAAAAGTAAGGAAATATGCTTCCATTTACCATATTAGACAACAAAACAAACAGCTAAGGCACAAGTTTTACTTTGGCAGATCTGTAAGAGAAAAACAAGACTGTGATCCCTTGAGCTGTTGTTGCCTGAATCTCTGGTCTTCCTCATTGCTTTCGTCATCATCATCATCGTCGTCGTCGTCTTCTTCTCGTCCTTCTCCTATGACTCCTTTCAGAGCCAAAATCGACATGGAAGAATTGTTTCCCTTGCAACTGAACAAGGACGATTTCCGTGACCAATTGTACGCTATCATCGTCCTCCGCCTCTTGTTCAATGGATTCTCTCTCTTCTCAATCTCTCTCACCGTGCTGATCTCTGATAAGTTCGCAAACGACTTCGATTTTCCAGCAAAGTTGTTCGACAATCCTCTCCTCCTGTGTACAATCAACACAAATAAACAAACAATTTAAAATTTAAAACCTAACTTACAAAAATAACAACAATCTGTGTGAACAAAAAACGAAGATCCAAGCTAGAGAGAGAGAAAGAGACTGACTTGATGGGAAGAGATTCTTCCAAGGAAGCTAAAGAAGAGAGATAACTTCCGTCGGACTTGCTCTGTACTTCACCTTCTTCGTCGTCGTCGTCACTGTCGTCTTCAGGCACTCCGATCGACGAACTCTCCGATGAGATCGCGGAGCTAACGTACGCCTGAGTCTTATCCTGCGCCGCCGAAGCCGACGATGCTCCGCCAGCGGGAGGACGGTCCACAACGTACACCGCGGCCGCCGGAGAAGAAGAGACGGCGTCGAGGCCGAGGGTGGGACCCACAGCCGAGACATCGAACACCACAGACATCTGAGAATCTGAATCTTTCAAGTCTTAGTAGTAGTAGTAGTAGTAGTAGTAGTATTGAATTTTTTCTAACCTTCACCGCTACGATACGAGATCTTTTCCTTCGTTTAGGCCTCCAGAGCTGTCTAATTGTCATCAATCAACTGCAAGAGATAATAACAATAATAATAATGATGATAATAGTAACAAGAAAGAAAGTGTGAGAAAATGATGGAAAAATTTACAAGCAGAGAGAGAAACGGAGGGGTTGGATAAGGGAAGATCCATGTATTTTCTAGAGAGAGAGAGAGTGATGAGAGAGAAATGAAAATGAAATAAAAAAAAATAGAGAAATTGAGCGAGTGGGACTATAAATAGGAGAAGAGAGAAAGAGAGAGAAAAAAAAAAAGAAAAGTAACGTCCGCCGGCGGCGAGATCGGCAGAGAAGGACGAAGCGCTTTGACACGTTCTTTTTGGGAGGGGGCTTACGTGGCCGAGACACTGACCAGAAAAATCAACTCGCTTTATCCTCATCTTTGTTTTTATTTTATTTTAAAAATTATTTTTATAGATGATGGAGACGTTTCAACCTCTTCCAATACAAGAGTTCTCTTATAAGAGTTCTCTTGTATGGTACCTATCACAGCATTTTAAAATAAGGAAAATGTTTGTTGGCTCTAAAATTAGAGTTGTTTTTTTTTATTCTCGATTCAACTAAAATTAGAGCTTTAAAAGGTGTTTTAGGATGAAAAATGCTTACACGGTTGGTTCTTCGTCCGGATATTTGATCAGTCGTCCATCTGAACAATCGTCTTTTATGGCCTGTTAGCTCACTAGAATTTTGTTTAAATTTTTTGAATTAAAACTCTGTGTCATTACTATTATTGAATTTAAAACTCTGCGTCATTACTATTATTGAATAGTTTTGATGGATTAGTTTAGCCTCCGTTTGATAAGTGGGTTGACTTTTTAACTTTTTGGTTGTTTTAGCTATTTTAGTTTGGGTTAAAAAATTTAGTTTGAGAAGGATTTTTTGACTTTTTGACTTTTTTTATGAGAGGAGAGTGTAATGATTATGAGTTGGATGTGATGTTTTGTTTGTTATAGCTAAAATAGCCTATTTTGTCTTTTGTGGCTAAAATAGCCACAAACCATCTTGCCAAACGGACCTTTAGTAGTACTGTTTAGTTTTTATTTGGGATATGAGTTAGTTTTTTTATTTTTTTAATTATTTTAGTTTGTAATTAAAAAGTTTTGTTTATGATAGATTTTTTAATTTTTTTAACTTTCATAAAAAAAAATAATAATAATTATGAATTAAATATAATATTTTATTTTATTAATTTTTTAACTTATTTTATTTTTTATAATTATTTTAATCAAAAAGTTACAAATTTCTTCGTGCCAAACGAGCACTTACATGGTGTATGTTGGTAGCTCAAAAGTAAGAAGATAATATCAAGTGGGTTATTATTAGTTTTTTAATTTTTTTTATAATAAAAATGTATTATTATTATCACTAATAATAAATTTAATTATGTAATTAAATTAAAAAATATTTTAATAATATCAAAAAATATTTTAAAATTACTGAATCTGTATCTATTTATAAATTAATAATGTTTTATTTATAAAAAGTGATGATTCATTTATATAATTTTTTCTACCGAATCGCTTGAATGAAATAACAATGATTTATTCACATGATTTGAATCATTCACTTTTTAAGATTAATTAAATAAAATATTCATGAAAAAAATTAATATAGTCAAAGATTTGTATTTGAATCAAATTTGTATTTATAAAGAAATAAACGACTATTGTTCCATTTATATTTGTTGTCAGTTTTTTTAAAACAAATGACTCGAACATATAGTTATTAATGTCCAATTATCGTACATTTTTTGCATAAATATTATACAATAACTTAAGAAAACCAAACCCTTACAAAAATTACACTCTAAATCACGTCTTGCTCACATGAAATTAGGGGTGGCCCAAACATTTTGAGGCTAAATTCAAATTCTCAACTTTTTGTAATATTTAAATACTAGGGTATGCCTGTGCCTAAAGGCACGATGAAAATATTATTGAAATGAAAATGTAATTAGAATAATTTTAAGATTTTAAACAAACAATAAAATATAAGTCTCATAACACAGAAACATATAATAAAAATAAGACGAAATACGCTAGCCAATGCTCTGTAATAGAAAAAAAATAAAATAAATTAAGCACACCAGTTCGTGCTCTGCAATACAAAGAAAATGCCAAATAACAAATTAAACACATCAACCAATATTCTACAATACAAAAAAAAAAAAATGGACATATAACAAATTAAGCATGCCAATCAATAGTTCACAATAGAAAAAAAATAACAAATAAATAAAGCACAGCAGTCGTGCTTTGCAATTCAAAAAAAATGACAAAAATTGTGCAATGAACAATTATTTTAAAAGATTAATACGTACACAGTCCAATCCTATATTAAAAGTAACACCCTTCTTGTTAAAAATATATAAGAAAGCAAAAATTCAAATTCAACACAAAAAAAAATAAAATATATGATTAGTTTTCTTTAAGCTAATTCAAGAGCATATGAGGAAGAAAAAAAAGACTATATGACCGAGTGAATAATTTAAATGAATATTATATAACATACATCTAAACTTAGTTATAAATTGCACATGGATAAAAGGCTTTAAAAAACTAAAATTCACATTGATAGGAAACTTTACAAAATATAAATCGTAGCTAGCATATGTACGCTTTTCACAAAAATAAATATGATTTTCAAACTTGTTCTTTCTTAGAATTCGTAGAAGTGCCTCATCACTTTTCAAAAAGTCTTTGTATCAACTTCTATGTATCCCCAATGAGGAGCATGCACAACAATCTAGTAATTTATGAAACTAAAAAAGTTAGTATATTAGTAGAAGAAAATCTATATAAATATTAAAACACTCTTAGCATTTCTTTCTCGAAGAAATTGAAACTATAAATACAAAAGAATTAGAGGTACAAAAAAATTAAAAATGCATGCATGTAAGAAAATGAGTAAAATGAGTCAATATAACAGTTTGACATAGGTCTCCATCCATCAGAAAAGAGCATTTTGTTATCAGGAAATTAGATAAAAAATAATGAAAAGAAAAGAAAAGAAAATTGACTTCAACTTATAAGAAAGGTGTATTTTTTTTTTCAAATAAATTAAAAAGAAAACAACTTACGTGACCAAAAATGGCAATATTGTCCATAATTATAGGTTGAAGGTCAATGATGTCTCAACCTGAAAGTGTCTGGTTATGTAAATTAAACAAAGATAACTGTAAGAAGACAGAACGAGGTTTAATAATGTAGTTAACAACCTACTTTAAGAAGTTCATTTGTGCATGAATATGACAACTGGAGAAATTGAACTACCTAAAAGCACGGTGTAAATTATGTTAGTAGCAAAATGTAATTGTAATTTATACGCATCATGTTGAAATTTGTAGAGTCTGTGGCATTTTTTGATTTTTGATAAAAACACTGAAAAAATATAAATAAATATTATTCTTCGTAAAGAACTTTTAACAATTTTAGTAGCAAATCGGATAATAAAATATAAAAATTAATTTCAAAGAGAGGGTTACAATAAAGATGAGAAGAGCAAGTACATAAACATAATAAAAATGAAAGAATAAGAGGTATGTAAAGTACAGAATAAAAAGTATGCTCGTGCGTAATGACACGATGTAGTTGAATATAAATGTAATTTATCAAAATGTAGTTGAATACAAATGTAATTTATCGAAAAACATACAAAAAACTTAAGACATTGAGAAATATAAAGAAATATTGTAAAATTATAAATTGCAAATTTATCGTGTGTGCACCAGTAAAAAAAAATATATATATATTTATGACAAAATATGCTTTAGATGAAGTTTAATCTCGGTTTTTTTCTTTTTTCTTTTTGTGTGTATGTGTGTAAATTCCATTGAAACATTTTAACAAACATTTAATAAGCAAGGAAGATAGAATGGTTATCAAATATTTTAGTAACAACCAAATGATAATAAGGGCACAACAACCATTCAACAGAGTAACTTAATACAATAGTCCCACAAATTCCTACTAAATCAAAGTAAATGGGTTTCGTGGAACCCAACTAACTCTTCATATATGTGTGTATATATACATAGATAATATATATGTATAAGAAAAATCAACAAAACCCATAAAAATATACCCAAAATCCTACATACATCTAGAAAAAAAACAAAGGGAAAATTCTCGCAGTTTGATTTTTGGAAAAAAAAATTGTAATCAATATATACACACACAATAACCCCCATTTGATTTGATTTGATAGAGAGTGAGACATTGTTGGTGATGGTGGGGATGATGGGATGAAAAAAAAAAAACAGAGTATTCAAATTTGTAGGGTCACCCATAAGTTAATTAGTGATTCTATTCACAGATAAATTCAACACTAACAACGTATATCCTAATTTCTAAAATTTTGAGCTGAGATCTAAGTACCGAAAATTGAAAAAGAAATTTTAAATCACGGTAAGGAAAAGGAATGAGAATTGGTAATTTATGATCAATGAGATTGCAAAAATAAAAAATGAATGAGAATGACTTTATCTCTATCCAACTGGTCATTTTTGACAATTGCTTTTCGTGTACAAAAAGCCTAAGTTCAAGTTTGATTTGTTTTTGTATAATTTATTTTTTTAATTCTGACCCATAATTTATTTGTTTAAGGTTTCAATTTTGTTCTGATTTTTTTTTTTAAATGCATTCTCTCAGCTAAATTAATAATATCCACTCTTAAAAGGATGCACATCATATTAAGAAAATCTGTTTATTTATCACAAAAAAAGAAGAAGATGCACATCATTGGACAATTATAAATTTTTATGATGAAAATTACCAATGTTTGTGGTGTGTGTTAAAGTCAATTTGTGGTAAAATTATAAATTGCAAATTTATTGTGTGTGCACCAGTAAAAATATATATATATATATATATGACAAAGTATGTTTTAGATGAAGTTTAATCTCGATTTTTTCTTTTTTTCTTTTTGTGTGGGTGTGTAAATTCCATTGAAACATTTTAACAAATACTTGATAAGTAAGGAAGATAGAATGGTTATCAAACATTTTAGTAACAACCAAACGTTAATAAGGGCACAACAACCATTCAATAGAGTAACTCAATACAATAGTCCCACAAATTCCTACTAAATCAAAGTAAATGGGTTTCGTGGAACCCTACTAACTCTTCATATATGTGTGTATATATAGATAATATATATGCATAAGAAAAATCAACAAAACCCATAAAAATACTATCAATTTAACTGAATTGAATAGG